TAAGTGTTGGAGCTGGAATAAGGGAGACCTGATAGCGCAGTGGTTAAAGCATTCAGCTGCTAACTGAAAGGGCAGCAGTTCAAACCCACCAGCCACTCCACAGGAGAAAGATGTGGCAATCTGCTTATGTAAAGATTTACAGCTTTGGAAACCCTGTAGGGCAGTTCTACTCTGCCTTCAAGGGTTGCTATGAATTGGAATCAACTCGATGGCAGTGGATTTGCTTTGCTTTGGTCTGGAGCTAGAATGAACCTGAAAGACCGTGTCTAACCTCCCCGTTTTGCAAATGAAGAATTTTAGGTCCAGAAAAGGTAAGTGACATTCCCATGGCTACATAGACAGGGGCACAGCTGAGACAAGAACTCATGAGTCAGTTGATTAATTAAACAAGTATTTATTGAGCACCTGGCTTGTTCCAGGCACTGTTCCAGGCACTGCAGGTCAGCAGAGAACAGGGTGATGTACCCGAGAACCACTGGAGTTCTTACTTTGGATTAGGTGGATCAAAAAGGTTCCCCGATTCGACATTTACCTGATAACTTGTTGACTACCTGTCCATTCCTTCTGAATGCTGAATTTTTTACTGATGGTTGTGTTCAAATTGCCTAGCTAAACATCATTGTTTTCACCCTTTAGTTTTAGGATATTAGTAGAAAATGCTTAGAAGGATGTCTAATAGAAAATATTTTGATACTCTAATAATTTTAAATTAATATAATATGTTGTGTTATATCATTCTATTGTAGAAATATTAAAATATTTAAATTTATATGATTTTAAATTAATAATTTAAAACCCAATAATATGTTGATTTTTATTTTTCCTCTTTTGCCTCCACATGGCCCTCAAAGGTAAGATTCAAGATGCTCAGTAGACAGCTTGGGGCCTTTGCAGACCGGCCTCCTGAGCCTTCTCTTCATATTTGTTCCCAGCTCTTCTCAAACTTGAAAGTCTGTGCAGATCTCCTAGGGAGTTTTTTAAAATGCAGTCTCTGATTCAGCAGTTGGGAGGCAACCCAGCTGCTGTTGACTCTGACTTATGGCTGCCTTATGTGTGTTAGGGTAGACGTTTGCTCCATAGGGTTTTCAGTCGCTGGTCTTTTTTTTCTAAGTAGATTGCTAGGCCTTTCTGCACCTCTGGGTGACCTTGAACCTCCAGCTTTAGGTTGGCAGCCAAGCACATTAACCACATCCCCCCCCCCCCCCCCGGGACTCTAGATCTCAGTAGGGTCTGAAATTCAGTGTGAAGATACCTGTATCTCCCTGAAGAGAAGACCCTCCACAGTACAGGGAGAAAGTCTCTTTCCTTCATCACTAGTCTAAGTATTCATTCCCGGTTGTAGTGGTTAGGAGGAGCCCTGGTGACACAATGGTTAAGTGCTCGGCTGCTAACCAAAAGGTGGGTGCTTTGAACCTACCAGTGGCTCTGTGGGAGAAAAGATCTGACAGTCTGCTCCTGTAAAGATTACAGCCTAGGAAACCCTGTGGGGCAGTTCTACTTTGTCATATAGGGTCATTGGGAGCTCTGGTGGCATAGTGCCTAAGGCACTTGACTGCTAATCAGAAGACTGGCGGTTCAAACTCACCAGCCACTCCTGAGAAGGAAGGTTGGGCAGTCTACTTTCGTAGTGATACCTCCTTGGAAACCCAAGGAGGGGTCGCTTTGAGTCAAGATCAACTCGAGGGTAGCGTTTGGTTTCGGTTTTTGGTGAGACGGAATAGACGACGGTGCCCAGCAACAGCGTAGGGATCAGAGGGCCCTGCACACCTGGCAACACACAGGGCCACCACGAGCAGGATTGACTCGGCAGCTGTGAGGTTGGGTTTTCTTTTCATGTTCATTAGACTGGTAGGTAACAGTCAGCTTTGCCTGTTACGTTGACTGTTAACATCCCCAGCATGTAGAGAAGGGCCCGGCTCGTAAGGCACTCAGTAAATATATGGAGCAAATGGGTGAGCATTCAAAAGCTACTTCTGTACCCTAGGCCAGGCATCCTGTATTGGTTGTAGAAGAGCACGGATCTTGCGTCACAAGCCCAGGGTTGTGTGGTGGATCATTCGCTGCACCTCTGGGTCACACTGCTTAACCCCTCTCTGGGTCTCAGCTTCCTCATTAGGAAAACAGAGTAATGATTCCTGTGCCCTAGAGTATTTGTGAATATTAAATAAGAAAATTTACATACATATACATACCTCTTACAGTATTTGGTACATAATAGATACTCAAATATTAGTCCATTTTCCTCTTACTGGCTGTGTTGGTAGTTTGCTGTGGAGCAGATTTGGGAGAGATATATGGCAGAAAGCTACTTTTCTGCATTTGGAAAACATTAGTGATGATGTGAGAATCGAGACACTGTATCTTGAAGTGATTTTTCTTCTTTTCCTTCTATTCTCCATAGCTTGTATTTAGCTTCAATGATAAGCTTTTTGGCTTACTAGTGAAGGACATTGAAGCCATGGATCCTAGCATCCTGAAGGGGGAGCCTGCGACAGGTAAAAGACAGAAGGTATGGTTTATTTCTGATGTTGGAATCTAAGTCATCTTTAAGATGAGAATTATTATAATTAATAATTATAATTAATACATATAAAATTAATTATATGTAGACTAACATAATTTTCCTAGGCATTCTCTTACTCATTTATTTCTTTAATGTGTATACTTTCCTCTAAGATAATAGGGAGAAAAAATTGCTTTTTTCATATGTGTATATGTATATGGTTATTAAAATATATTTATTTGGAGACCTAATAAAAATTCAAAATTTGCATATGTACTTGTAATCCTGGTTGAAAACAGATGCTATTTACTGAAATAGGCTAGAAGGTGCTTAATTAAACAGTAACAATAAGAAATTGAGAAGACATAGACATTGAACTCTCAGCCAAACAATACACAGGGCTATGAGCTGACCAATTACAACAGGGAGAACAGCCAGCCATGGGAGAGCAGAAGGGCAGCGTTTGCACAGGGAGGTAGCTTGGGGCAGGAAGGCAGAGGAAGGAGGGACACAGGGCGCAGGTAACCCCAGGGGGAAGTGGGAAGAGAGCTGTTACGTTGTGGGGATCGCAACCAGTGTCATGAAACAAAATGGGTATGAACTGTTGAATGAAAAACGAATCTGCTCTATAGAGTTTCACCCAAATCACAATGAAAAGTTAAAAAAAAAAAAAAGACATAGATATTAAAATAAAGAAAGTACAACTAGTAGGTGTTAGCTATGGGAGAAGGAAATGTCACTTAGATACTAGTTGGGAAGATTTGCCTTGCAAACCTGACTTCCCTTTCATTTTTAGCCTTGTTTAGAGAAGGCCAGAGGTCTGCCATTAGACTAATTACTGTCTTTCTTTACAGATTGAAATAGGACTGGTTGTTGGAAACAGTCAAGTTGCATTTGAAAAAGCAGAAAATTCTTCACTTAATCTTATTGGTAAGATTATGTTTTTAGAAGTTTCTGACTGAAGTGGGACCATGTTATATGTGACTCAACAACCGTGGTTTTCAAGTGGGGAAGAAGAGGGGCACCTCCACTTGGGGGGATTTTTTTTAAACTCGTGGGGGGTTCCTGTCTGTCACGTGTGCTGGGGTAGGAGGAGGCCAGAATCTTCATTTCGATAACCCCATCCAGCCCCGTAGGTACTTTCAGTTTCCTAGGAGCCACGTTAAAACTAAGGAAAACGAAACAGGTTAAATTAATTTTAAAACTTCTAAGGTAATTTTAGGCTTACAGAAGAGTTACAGAAACAGTTGAGAGTCCCTGTGTGCCCCTTGCAGCTTCACCTGATGTTAGCCTCGTACACACCCTGAGTACGGTTTTCACAACTGAAAAACTCACATTGTTACCTTGCTTCCAACTATGCCACCAAGTTCAGCTGGATCTCACCAGTTTTTTCACTGTGTCCTTTTCTGTTCCAGGATCTCATTGAGAATCCCAGAGTGCATGCACTTGTATTGTTCCTTTAGTCTTCTCCAGTTTCAGACATTTCCTCAACTTTTAATTGTCTTCATGACATTGAGAACAGGTTGGTTACTTTGTAGAATGTCCCTCAACAGGTGGTTGTATTAAATAAGATACTAGCTTTGGTTCTGTTAGTGACGGAGTTGAGGGAGGAGTGTGCAACCTTCCCAACAGATTCACAGGTCAGCCCTACCCTTGCTCCTAAGCCCTATTCTTTTATGTTAAAATAATGCAGATTAGTCTCTAAGAATAGCAACTCACCAGAATAACAATGTCATCAAATGTATGGTAATTCTAATTTATGATTGCCATACTGTGTTGATGTCTACCCCACAGCAAATAGAGGGCTTGCATAGGTTGCTGTCC